TATCCCTAATTGTTAACTATTAAATCACATCTACTTTTATCCGTATTAAGAAATGGAGAGCTAAAGAAGATGGCCAATGGGAATTCAGTAATCTTAAAATGCATGATAAAAACCTTTAATATAATAAATGGTTTATTCATATTTCTGTATTATATTTACTTGCTTTTTCAGTAAAGTAGCCACTTGCTTTGAGACAAAAAAATAGCAAATTAGCAAAATTACATTACAATTTGTATCATAAACTATCATGGTGAATTATTGCAAAACGTGACTGAAGACGATTAGGTAAAAACTAAAATTTAACAGCCTCTTAAAGGTGCTTGGTTGTTACATCACCTGGCATATCCTGTGTGAGACAGTCGTATCTTTGCCTTTCCACAAGTTTACTTGGACCGAAAATACATATGGCCATCATGAAGACATTTTAGCACAAATGGTTCTATATATATGCAGAAGAAACTTACCAAGACCACGCTAGAGGCTGTATTGGAGGCTGCATTTGAGACTGTGGTAGAGGCTATATTGGAGGCTGTGTTGAAGGCTGCAGTGCAGAATGTTTTGGAGACTGTGCTGGAGGCTGTGCTGCAGGTAGCATTAGAGGCTATACTGAAAGCTCTAGTAGAAGCTGTGTTGGAGACTGTGCTACAGGCTGTGTTGGAAGCTGCAGTAGAGACTGTGCTAGAGGCTGTAGTAGAGGCTGTACTAGAAGACTGTCAGAGTCAGTGTGAGTGTTTGTGCTAGGGGCTTTGCGCGAGGCTGTGCAGGAAACTGTCAGAGGCTGTGTTAAAGGCTGACTTATTTATTCTGCACATGATCGTTTCCAGTGTGCTCTGCTGGCAGAACACTGGAAGGTATTCAGTATCTTAACGTCTAACATTTCATCAAGAACTCGGTACTAATAATGGCTCTGGTTTCGTGTTCACATTATGCTTGGTCCTGCAAACAACTGTGATAATGAAGTGGGCCTTTCCTGCATGGCTTGGGGTGGGGGTGGCTCTCATTACAGAAACTGGTTCAGATTCTGAACTTGCACAGAAAGTCCTGCCTTGGATTTTTTTTCAGCATTTTGGCTGTAAATCTTTCCATCTGCACAAATCACATAAATCACAGAATTTTTGACTGGCCTGCAAGTAAGATTGTGTTAGACAAATGTAATTTAACAGATACATATGCACTCATGGATGGCAATCATTTTAAGCTTTCAAGTTGTGCAGTAATGTAAATAGTATTGATACTACTACTAATTATCCAGTTATAAGGAGAAAATTAGCAAAGGCACAGAAATGGTAAAACTCCTATTGTTTTGTACTCTTATGTAGGTGAGACATTTACAGATCTCATAAAATTGTTAGATTAAGGGCTTTGACAGTGGACATAATTTCCACTTTTTGTGTCTGGCTGCAGCACACAAGACAGTTATTTAGTAATTTTTAATTTGATTAATTTATACTTTCATTCTTATAATACATTCACATGTATTTGTATGGACTGATGCTGAGGAATGAAATTATTACTGAGAACATACTAAAACTGTTATAGCGTAATAAGAATAGGATAAAAGAATGTTAAAAAAAAACCAAAAGGTGGCATCATAAAAAAATGTATACTCTTTGTAATGGCGATCACCCAACTGCCTCGTGGTGTATTGCACCACAAAGAATTAAGTCAAACAAATGAATAGAATGACCTTTTAAATGATCTGAAAAACATAGAACAAGAAATTTCTGTGAAAACAGTGGTGTTCCTCCTTTTCATTTTGTACAGTTTAAGTATTAAAGAACACATTTCCTGATTCATGTTGGATCTGTGTGATAGTCAGGGGCGCTGTAAGGGGGAGGAAAGCTAGGATGATTCCAAGGGCCCCTGAGTGACAGGGGCCCTAAAAAATTAGGAAAATAACTGGATTGGTTTGGACAGGGGGGCCTAATATGATATGCTTTCATGGGGCCCAAAATCTCTAGCAACGCCACTGGTGATAATTATATGTAATCTTAATAATTACAATGGACAATTAGCTTTTACGAATGGAAAACACATTGTATATGTTATGTCAGGGTTCTTCAACTCTGGACCTCGATTCCAAATTCAGGCCGTGTTTTCAGTTTTCCCAAGTAGTTGTTTAATAATGACTGATTCTGATTGGTCAGAGGCTTCACACCTAACTGACAGGTAAAGGAAGGCTGGAAAACCAGCAGTGCTCGGACCTCGAGGACTGTGAGTTGAATAACCCTGTGTTATGTAATCTGTTTTTTTCCACCCAAAGAAAGGGTACTATTAAAAAGTTACTAGGTTCTATTTTTTGCTGTTGCTTTAAGACAATGCTTTTTACCTATAGGAACAGTAAATTAATAAGAAAAGCTTTCTTATTGTGAGCTAAACCTTCCAAAATCATCACTGATGCTGTGTCACATCAAAAAGGCGCAGATGCAAACACAATTCCTGAGAGTAATTTAAATTTTAAACTAGATCTTAAGCCACGTCCATGATTCAGTGTGACTTTAGCTTCCATCAGACTGAAAGTTTATAATTTTTTCAATCGTTAACTTTTTTTACTAAATCAACCAGTTGGCGGCCTGGCTGTTCATTGTCAGAAACAAATGAGTTATGCTTCTGCTTTACCCCCTTGTCTAGCCATTACAAATGGTCAAGCAGAAACATGTATTTTCATTATTAAAAATAGAAATATTAAATATTGAAAATAGTATTGTGAAAGTACAGCAGACGGGAAACTCGGAGGCAACATTTCACGGAAATGCATGTGCTGACTTTGCCCACAAACCAAATGTGCGTTATTGTGCGTTGTGTGTTTATATTTGGATATTCAAAGCACTCTGGGGAAGCTATGTGAGGAAAGGCATTTGCTAGTTTAGTGAGTTTAAAGTTGTTAAAAATGTGTTGTTATGTGTGATAGTGTGCAGTGTTTCCCGTAGGTTTAGATCGGGGGGGGGGGGCAGACAGACACCGACAGGATTCATGGTGTTCATGTGTTTCTTTTAATGACAGCAGTCAAAATAACAACTGAACTAAACATCAGAACATTTCTTTTTATGACAATTCTTCACATAGTGTGCAGCTTTTGTCACTGCGGTTTATCTTTCTGGACTTTTGGAGGAACATTTCTAGAGCCTCTTGATATTGTAAGTCAGAAACGTCTGGCCCATTTACTGAGATCCGCATGCAGGCTGCAAGATGGTCTCCTTGCTGCCTTTTGCAGATGTTTGTCTTGACCTGCAAATACATTAACTGTTAGGCTTTAAAAGTGATAGCTGATAGCTTAAAACTGTGATAGTTTAAAGCAGAAAACATGTGAAACGTATTCATTACCCTATTCATGGTTGAGAAGTCCCTCTCACGGTTTACACTGCTGACCGGGACCATCAGGGCAATGGAAAACGCAGATATTTTTCTCTGCTTTTCAAGTGGTTGACGCAACATTTTTTCCGATTCACTGGTTTAATCTGACCACTTTTAAATAAACTTCAGTGTGTGTCCAAGATGGCATCTAAAACAGGCACAGAGACAGTAGGAGATTCTAAAAATCATCTGCTAACGTTATTTTCTTCAGGACATGTGATTTATGAATGATTTGTCTGCTGTTGGCTGTTTAGCAAGGCAGCCTAATGTATTACCAGTTTGCCTGAACACTTCACTATGTCTTAATCAACAGAGTTTAATGGCATGGGTGTCTCATCAAGATGTTACTCATTTATGTCTTTAATACAGAGTGGCCTTTTCAGCTGAGTTTGATCCGGTCTGATTGATTTAGTTGAAGTGTATGCGGGTGTCACAAGAAGGAAGGGGGCCATTACAGGATGCAGTCTGAAAAACGTCAATAGCAAACCTAAACAACCATGAAATTAAAAATGAGTGTTTCCAGGGAAAACACAATAAAATAAGTCACCACAATCATATGCAATGACATACATTAATCGTGAAAACACTTTAAGGGCATCAAAAAAATATTAAATGACATGGATAAACACCTCAACTATGGTCCATTCAGAAACGCCTTTCATTAACTATGCAGTTGATTTTTGTTTTTCTGACACTTAATTTGAATTATTTTTCTCTACAAGCTCTCTTCTTTTAGATCCATAAGAGCGAGATATAAAGAGATGGAGAAATATGGAGTGAGAGATGGAGAGAGAAAGAGAGACATTACACAGCCATTAATCGCCATGGTTCTGAACCCATATCCCAGCCCCTCCCGCCTGGCTCCTCGCCACAGGAACACTTAATACCGTTTTATTTAAAATGGCTCTCAAAGATCTCTCACCAAACACCGTCCTCCCATCTGTCACATAAACCCAGAAACTGGCACCAAACTGTGTCCTGCAATAGTACAGCTGATGTTTAAATAAAACATACAAAAACATGTATTAATGAAATCTGTATAAGCTTTTGGAAAGAACAACATTAAACTTTTTTTTTTCTGGAAATTGAAATTGTGCACGCAGATAGATAAGGGAGTGACACTTGGGGTGACACTTAAACATGCTGCTGAAAATAATTAAAAAATCAGAAGCAGGAAGCCAAGAGTCTCAATTAAAATGATGGATTTATTGCTTATATATTTTTACAATTTTAGTTTAAAAATGTATGTCTGTGTAGCCCTTCTAAATGAAATAAAATATCTTTTAAAAATTCTTTATTTAATTATATTTTTCTTTTTATCTCTTTTTATTGTTTTTCATTTCATTTATGTTTTTGTATTGATTATATGTAATCATATGTATCCATAGTTTAGAATATTGTTTAACATTTAGCTGTACTTGCCTTCTTATGCTGGCATTGATGGGTTTGCTGTTACGGGGGGGGGGGAGTTTGTTAAGCAGAACCAAAAACTTTTCCTTTGTCCTCTATACTCTCGCTGTGTCTCTTTCAATGTTCAATAAAAAAAAGACCTTGGGGTGTGTGTGTGGGGGGATGTTGGCGGTGACCAGATTTTATGTAATATTCATCCTTTTCTCCCTATCCATCTTTCCTCCCCCTCCCTGCAGTCTGAACTACAGTGGCGTGTGTTTGGCTTCAGATACCCAGTTTAGTGACTTTCTCGATGGGATGGGTCCAGCCCAGTTTGTGGGCCGTCAGACCCTCGCAACAACATCCATGGGTAAGCACCACCCTCAGCTCTCTCCATTCATCAGGTCCAGGCCTAGGTGTTCTGTTGCTCTAGGTGAGAATGTGTTCAGCCCCCCTCCAAAGTAAACAACTATTCTCAATTTGTTCATATTAAAAAGGCTTTAGTGGAACATGGTATCTGGCTGCGATCTAGCTAGCTTACTAGTACTAAAAATAACTAAAATCGTTATTTCAGTTGCTCTTTTGTACCCCCTAATCAAGTGACACCCTTGGTGATCACGTATTTTGCCTATAGGGCAGGCTGGCCCTGCCATTTAATTCTATCTAAATTTTAACTGCAGCATGTAATTACCCAACATGCAATCACATTTCCTCCACTCTGCGGCATTAGTCGTTCTTGCAGGGAAAAGAAGACAGCTGAATGGATTTGTTGTTGTGTCTCCTGCAGGTGATGTGGAAATAGGCCTGATGGAGAGGAATGGACAGCTAGAGGTGGAAATTATCCAAGCCAGAGGTCTCACCCTGAAGCCGGGATCCAAAGGTCCCCCAGGTAAACTGATTACTGGGACAGAGAAACCACTAATGCCGCCTGTTACCTAAACATCCTTACCGAATCCTTCAGAAATGGAGACTTCATATTAACAAGCCAATTTTTACTGGTGTGATTCTCCTCTTGGTAGAATTTAGGTCAGAATAAAGACAAAAACTAGAATTTTCCAGATTCACAAATAATATTTCAAATTAATGTTTTTAATCACAATATATATGTTAATGTACTGTATGAAACTAAATGATGCGTAGCATTGTAATTCAATATAGATTTTACTTGGAAAGTGTTTAATTCCTAGTGATAAATTAGATGTGGAAGGAAAAAGGTGAAATTAGGAAAATTAATCAGACTTCAGCTCACATCTCTTTGCAATTTCAGCCGCGTACATAAAAGTTTATCTACTTGAAAACGGTGCCTGTGTTGCCAAAAAGAAGACGAAGTCTGTGAGGAAATCCCTGGATCCACTGTACAACCAGGTGCTGGTCTTCACAGAGGCTCCTCAGGGGAAGGTTGTGCAGGTATGGAGAGGAAAAGTCGCGATTCTGACAATACTGTGAGAATGTATATATTCCAAGAACCTTATTTTGTACATTTAAAAGTCACTGCATTCGTTTTGAATAAAACATCAGCAGACCTTTCACTTTACTAATACTAATTTCTGACAAATACACTAAAACTGTAGTAATTTTATATATCCAGTGCACTGTCTAGCAACATCACTGGAAACATAACGTTAATCATGTGTACCATGTCTGTTACTTGTTTATGTTTACTTAATGTTAATATTTGTAACTCATCGGAAGGTAAAATGTCTTCATGTTTTCCATCAAGCTCAGCTCCTTTTGGCAAGTGTCCCATATTCCAATTTTAAACCAGTTCCTCGTTAGATTTGGTTTTAGCGTGAAAAGCCCCAGACTGTTTTCAAAGTGCACACAGGAAGCCTTCCCTTTTGATGTTCTAAGAGAAGACAGAATGCTTTTGTCAATAGATAAAACAGGCAGGTGAATAGCTTTCAAAAATATTAGCGTTTTGTTCCAAAGCCTGTTAGCAATTTTGGAAACAATTTCAAGTCTTGTCACTGAATAATGGGTTTGAACACATCCCTCCTCTCCATTCTGTTGGGAGAACATTCAGCTTCTGGGATCTTTAGCCAAGGAACTTTCATATGAATTTATTTGCCTGTATTTTTCTGATGAAGGACATGTAGTCCATGATCAAGAAAAAGCTCAGGCTGCATAAATTGAACGCTGTCTGCAAAATGAAAAAAGGCAGGATAATAGCGAAATATTTTAAAATATATAATATATATATATATATACACACACACACACACACTAAAAGTGAAATAAAATTGTAAATAAGAAAGCAAAAAGTATCAGCTGGGAAATCCCAGCAAAGCTATGTAGATGTAGGCTTGTCCCACAATGGGTCAAGGAGCCAAAATGCAAAATTAATTATGCTTGTTTATACAGTCACAAACAAAATATTCTATACTTGGAACCAATTTGATATTTTATCAGGATTAAAAGCATCATTTTGTTCTGTTGTTTTATTCACTATATGCAGTTGAGCTACAAATATTTACATGCTGTCTTGTCCCGCAGGTTATCGTCTGGGGTAACTACGGACGCATGGATCGCAAGTGTTTCATGGGCGTGGCTCGCATCCTATTGGAGGAGCTGGATTTGTCAAGCATGGTGATTGGCTGGTACAAGCTTTTCCCCACTTCCTCCATGGTTGACCCCACGATGGCCCCTCTGATCCGGCACTCATCCCAGCTGTCCCTGGAGAGCACAGTGGGGCCCTGTTGTGACCGCTCCTAATGGCGCTGGGAGCCAGCTTGTCTTTCGTACCCTTATTTTTCGCACAGTCCTATAGTCCCTGGATCTCGGAGGGCTGCAAGCCCAACTCCTACACTTCGGCCATGCAGCCGGGGAAAGGGGTGTGGGCCCCAATCTTGATTCAAAGGGTTATTTTTTCCCCTGAAGTGGAACATTTTAAACAGTGGAACTGAAGAAGTGACTTAAGCCTAATTGATTTTCTTGATCTGAACTGTCCTTTTTTTCTCTTGCCCCAAGCCCTCGAGTGCAATCTCCAGTGTTTCCCTGTCTTATACCTCACAGCGTCAGTGGAGGACCAATCTGCCTGACAGATTAGCGTCCGTTAGGCTGCCTGCGTGGTCCCAGACTGGAGACCGGGGCATGTGCAATATTGGAGCCGCCGTTGGTGATAAATAAAACGAGCAGACAAAAAAAAAAAAACAAGAGAGAGACTAAATATTCATGTCTTGAAAGCAGATAATCACTCACCATTATTGAGAGTATGCTACTTCAGTTACAGGTCTGGATGTTGCAGTACCACATTATCTGCTGAGATTCTGTGGATGTTTCTGTACAGCTGGGCTCACTTGGAATGTTTATTATTATTATTATTATTATTATTATTATTAATAATAATTATTATTAATTATTCTTTAACTGTGCCAATTTACCAGCAAGTGTCTTTATTTGGCGTTTTGTGCCACTGGTCAGTGAGTTAAGGTAAATTCTTGGACAGATGAAATGAGATGGTAGTTTGCAACTAATATATATTACGGCTAGTTTCACGTTTCATGTGTTGAAACACTTTAGTTCCACTTCAAACCCAATAGATCATTAAAAATACGTTTAGTAAGGAGAAGCAACAGTGTTAAATGAAACCAAGATTAAATGAAGGAGAGGCAATGGATAGCAGTGTGCAGGTTCTTGTGGGCACTTTAATTTTTGACTAAATATAGATATATATATATATATATATATATTTATTATTCATAAAAACTGAGTGAGCCAAAGTCAATTTCTGTTGTATGAAATTTTACATCCAGCTTGACAAATACAGAAGTGTTAAAGTCTATTTGCAGAGCTTTCGTAGCGCAGTGAGATTGTAGCATTAGCATTGAGCATGAGAGACTATATAGCTTAATAAAAAATACTAAGAAAGAACTTTTTTTTTTTTTTTGCTTGAATTAATCATGAAAAACATGGGTTAATGGAGCAAAGATGTAGCAGCTAATTTAAATAATAAATTATAGATGCAGAACTGTGATAAATATTCACAAGATAATGAAAATGCCTATTTTATTTTCTAAAAAAAAAAAAAAAAAAACGCGTAAATAGCAAAAAATGTGTGTAATTGATTATGCGATTTGGAGTAATAACCAGTTGACTGAAATGATGAAAACTTCCAGGGTTATGTTGGACTGACACAGACATCTGTTTCTTGTGTGAAAACATACATTCACCAGTATTTCCTGTTGGTCCCAAAAACGAATTGTTGAAATATGTATTGTCATTGACATAAGAAATGTAATTTAAGATTTTTACATCCTCACTTTACAATCTGTACGAATGTCTAGCAACATATATTATAAGCATATTATGTTCCTGCATGTGAATTTATGAAATCTGACATGGTCATAGTTTTGTACTGAGATAATTGTACTATTTATTACATAAACTCTATCAGTCCAGTGTACCAAATCAACCTTTTGTAGTAAGACACAAGATAACATTTTCAAAGTACATTTTGAAAAATGTGTGTTTTGTTCTAATGGGAGATGAAAATTTTATAGAAGTAACAAAAAAAAAAACTCAAACTCATAGTATATTTTATACTGAACACTTTATATTTACACTAATTTAAAAGCATCTTTTAGTTGTATAGTATAAATTAAAAACAAAAAAGATTTTATTTTGAAGCAATACTTAGCACTCCCCTTAAAACTTTTCTGGGCTCAAGAACCAAGAAAATAATGATTCAAGGAGAAATCAGGACAGCAAAGTGTTTGTACAGAGCCTCTTAAATAAAACGTTAGTCTGGTGATAAATGCTGAAAGCATTTTGGTCAGCAAATGTGTCACATTAAAGTGTTTATTTATATACTGGCAAAATCATTCTGTAATGGCCAGCCTACATCTGTGCTAGAAACAACGTTCAGTCTGTTTTACTGGGATGCATCTGCAATGATACCTGGTGCATTAGCATCCTGCAATCAATAAAATTTTAAAAAGTATATTATCAACTGATACAATGAAAATACGAGTTTACTCATAGTTTAACTCAGACATAGAGTAGTTATTTTAATAATATTATTACACATATTTGCTTTAAAACAGACAAAAAGATATTGACATAGGAGTGTTATTACTAAATCACTGGTTATTTTTTCATATTAAAAGTACCACATGAGTCATATGTACTGACCAGCACTTGTGTAAGTTTTTTGAAGAGGCTTATCTGCTGGTTATTACTAATATTAGACTAATTTGCTTTAAGGCTGCCAACAAGGTAAAATTTGTCCCTTTGGAAAATACTTTCCTGACGAAAATTGGTTTTGAAAAACATTGCTTTATACCAATTGATCAAAATGTTAAAGACACTCATCACACTTAATAGTTGGTTGTTCTTAATGACTGATAAATCGCATCCCTAATATGTATGGATATAAGTTTGTCTGAGTGTACATATGTGTGTGTGAGTGATTAACATTCAATGAAAAATTTTGATTGTAATTTTTTAAAGTACTTTTATGAAACTCTGGAATAAAAATGTTGCTACATAAAATATTCTGAAACAGACAAAAAACTGCCTTGCTAAATACAAAAACAAAATTATGGAGTATGTAAATATGTTCTACTGAAATTCCACCGTATGCGTCACTAACTAGAGTAATATTTATAAAATCTATACTGCTGCCACATTCCAGGATTTTGAATTTCAAATGTTATATTTTCCTTGAAAATATCCCACAAAAACACTTACTTTTATAATTGAAATATTTGCAGGAAATCTCTTAGTGAATTAAACCTAGTGTGCTTTTTAACAAAATACACAGCTATATCCTCAAAACTGTCAAAACATTTTTCTTCAAACTTATAAATTGAATCGAGTCAGTTTAGCCAAAGTATGATTAAAATTAATTCAGCACAATTCTATAACACAAACTCATTGTCCATATAAACATAATTTATGAAATTCTAAATAAGTTTTCAGCGCAGATTAAAACAGAAATTCTAAATTCCATTCTCAAAATATTTTTAGTAAATTAATTCTATATTATCATACCATATAATATGGGTACCATGTCTAGTAACAACATTAATTCTTAAGTGGTATGACAAATTGTTCTGAGTGGTTATTTAGAAAGCCAAATTGTATCTTTTTAAAATTACCTCATTGTCAAGCTAACATAGGAAGGACAACATGTGGAAAACTGTGTTGGATATAACTGCTCGAGAATACACCAAATCTCTGAAATCAATTAAAATTCTATTACTGCTCTTAAATGGGGCTTTAAGTTTACCAATCTAATAAACAAACAGAATATGTTTATTTTATTAACATATTTTGTTATGAGTGATTTGAGTTTAACTAGATATGCATTTGGTTTTAGTTGGATGTAACTTTAACTTTTTATATTAGCTACTATTTGTAATTAAATTCAAAACAAGCCCAAAAATATGAGATCTAACACATTTCAGTTTGGACTACAAAGCTGTTAGTCCAGACCTTTTTTATTTTTATGAAATAAAAATCTTGACCTGATGGGTTTCTCATCTCATGTCTGGGTCCAATGGTATATTTACAGTAATTGGAAGACTTTCAAATGTATTTCCTGTTATTTTAATGATTTTTATTTAATGTTTTTTATAACAACAAGAGATACCACATTGCCACCTATGAAATTTGTCCTGAAGTCTCTGTGTTTTTATAGGTCATTTAAGTCTTAATTAGAGCCTCATAACAGCCTCATCGTGTATTCTTGACTAGAAGGCAGGATTTAAAATGAGACCAAATGACGCAGAGTTAGAATGAAGCTAAAATTTAATAGCACTACATGTTAATAGCCACGGGGGATCAAATAGCAGTCACCCAGCTGCTAAACAAAGGAGGTTAGACTGCCTTTAAATATTGTGTCAGTTGTTTTTATAATACATGTAATTTTCGTTTACATACAACCATTTCATATTTTTCAGTTTATGGCCAAATTTCTAATTGATTGGTCATCTTGGGGGGGATCACAATAAGACCATCATTTACCAGGAAAGATATTTGTCTTAAAACAAATCCCACTGAAGGAATTGCTGTGGCAAAGAGCAGAAATTACAGTGTAAATAAGGAGCATCGTGTTGTCAGTAAAATACTGGCAAAACACATTATTTAAAATCCCTCTTAATCTTCATTCTTTTGTTTTCTTATGTGCAATGTTTGGTCATAGTGCTGTTTGGTCTGTCAGGGTTTTAAAGGTTTTGCGACATAAACAAATATGGAAATAAAAGGGCTTTGTTAGATAGGATATCATACATTAGTGTGAACATATCATTAACTCCTGCTTAGGCGGGGACTGGCAAAATGGCATTCTGCAACGTTGTCTCTGGGATGATTTGAATCATTTTAGGGAGATATGATCTGTTTTTGGGCCAGTTTTATTAAAAAAAAAAAAAAAAAGATTTATTACATGTAGATCTGAATTAATTAAGAAACTATAGTAATGTTGAATAATGCACAGTTTGATGTTGTTAAACTGTTTCGAATGTTAATTAAAAAAAAGCTGAATCTGTGATTTGGATTTTGTTTTTTTTTTCATCCATTCAAGAACTTGCCCGGGGTCTATAGATAAAAATAAGAATACGGCTGAAGAATTATAAGCTAATGCAGGCACAGTGCAGTTTTACTGTCACTAGAATTCTCTGAGGTTTGACTGTAATGACACTTTGGTGTGTGATGGTCGCAGGGTCACGTAGGAGCTTGACTGTAATAAAGACACATGGTTTGTAGTAGGACACGCTGGGGTGTAATTGTAATAACACACTGGGGTTTGACTGTCACAAGGATATACTATAGCTTAACTTTGAACTCTGGAGTTTGTAATAAGGACACAATGAAGTGTGACTCTGATAGGACACGGGGGTTTTCACTGTTAAGCACATGCTAAGGTTTGACTGTAAAAAGCACACACTAGGATTTGACTGCAATAACGACACATTGCAGTTTGTAATAAGACTTTGGGGTTTGACATACGAACACAATAGCATTTGACTGTCAATAGGGCTCATTAGGGTTTGACTATAAAAAGGAGACACTGGAGTTTCATTGTCGCTAGGACATCCTGGGATTTGACTCCAACTTGAAAACTCTGGTTCACTGCCAATGATGGTATTAAGCTCATAAGAAAAATACAATGTTGTTTGGCTTCACTGGTGGAGATCATCATTCACGGGAATAAAACTATAGGCAATGCAACACCAAGCCACTGTTAATTTCTCATAAACAAGTGAAAATATCATAGATTCAAAAGAGCAACTCTGATTATTTTATTGCTAAATAATGACATAATATTAAAAGGATATGATTTTAATAAATAGTCAAATATCCTTCTGTAAGAAGTTTCACATGCTTTCATTTTGAAAGAAATTTTAACATCAAGAAACTAATACAAGTCACGACATGACAGTGAATACCCCTTTTCTTAATGCTCTACCTTCAGTTTGCTGATGCTAGTTATTTTCCTGTCATTTAAAACATTTGTGTAACAGGCAGCTGTTTAATCTTACCATCTTATGTAATTTGCTGTCTTAAGAGAGACATGGTTGATTTGATTGCAAATGTTGCAGCTGTCTACTTTAAGGTATCTAGACAATGAGATGTCTCTTAGTATCATGTGACACAGGGAGACACAAAAGATATGCAGGCTGGAGAATTTGTATTTGTGGTCGGTTGGCTCAGAGGACATTCAAGGATTGGCAAACTATGAGCCAAGCGGGTCAAGGCAGCGGCATCAGTCTAGCAGTGTGATGACGACATTGTCGTCCTGCCCTTGCCAGAGCATCTCGCCCTCGAAGCAGACCATGCCGTGCTTGCGGCAGCGGAGAAGGATGCCCACCACCTTGTCGGAGATCTTGACGTAGCGGTCGAAGAGCCTGCCAAAGGTGACCCGCACCTTGCCATCCTTACCCCTCACGCCCATGTCCCTGATGATGTAGCACATGTCCTCCATCTCCCTGTGGATGTGTTTCTCAGCCCTACGGGCACGCTCCTCCGTTTTGGAGCCCTCTTTTGGACGGCCATAACCAGTGTCGCCCTTCTGCAGCCTCACCGCCATAGCGTGCTGGTAGTCGAATTCCTCGCTGAATGGGTTCAGCTTCTGGCCTTCCATGTGCTGCTCTGACCACTGCTGCCACTTATTCTTCAGATCCCCCATAGTGGTCACCTTTATCTGTAGAGTAGCATCACTGTTAAGATTCCATTTAAATCACTGAATTGATGTATATCCATACACATCTCATGTGTTTGCTGGGATGGACTCCAGGATCAACAAAACAATGTACTGGATAAGCAGTTACCGAAATTGGATGGAAGGATGCACTTGATGTCAATGTCTGAAAAAAGATTCATGATTTTTCCAGTACTTAAAAATCACACATTTATTTTCCTCATTGTTCAATGACTGAAAAGAATCGAAACTGTGCTCTTTCCCTAATAGCAACAGCTATTTTTACATAATTACTGTCTTGTTCTCTGAC